CCTTCTCCTTTGAGAAAAGTTCTTTTATTGATTACACTGCTTGTAATGCAGCCTTTGTGTGAGGGAAGAGCCGGATCAGTCACAAGATTTTCTTCTCATTCACAGAATGGTGTTTATTTACTGAAGCTGGAGAATGAAGAATCAGACTCACTTCTGCATAGAAACCAATCATCTTCCAGGTTTTATTGCCAGAGCTTAATTGAACAAGCTGAGGTTAGAAGCTGATTGGTTTCTATGTAGAAGTGAGTCTAATTTTGCACTGTCCAGCTTTAGTAAATAAACCCCAGTGTATTAAAACAGTGTAATCACCTAAAGAACTTTTCTCTTAGGCTACGTTCACACTAGCCTTGTTTGCAAGTGGCAGAAAGGCGTTTTGGAAACATTTTTACCGCTTCCCAAACGCCTCGGAAAATTCTGCCCATTGCAGCACATGGTGCTATTCTAACGGGAGCGGTAGTGTTGCGGCGCGGCAAAACGGACACCTTTGGTCGAGTCAGGAGGCATTGAAGCCCTCTATTCTAGTCTATGGTGCTGCTCCGCAAACACCCGGCCGGCGTTTGCGGTGCGGTTGCGACGCGTTTGCGGAGCGGTAACAGCATTCAAACATCATTATAGGCGTTTGTGGGGCGTTTTTAATGCTTGGCAACTGCCGCTGAACCACATTCGGCATTTGCGGAGCGTTTGCCGAGCGTTAAAAAACGCAACGCTTGCCAAATGCTATAGGGGCATTTGGCAAGAGTTGGTAAAACAGTCAAGTGTGAACGAGCCCTTAGGAAGAGGAAGGAGGGCTGTTCTGCCCAAAGACCCTAAAATCAGGCTAATAAAAAACCATTATAGGTTATAATAAGCTATTATATGTTACTGAATGTGACATAATACTGTTTCATACACTAAGCAAGATTTAAAGTAGAGATTTGAGCATACATTGGAATAATATGTTTTTGTAGGTTGCTTATAGATAAAATACTGTATTTTCTTTAATATTCTCCTGCAGCACATAGAAAATAATCTTTTGATTCTGCCAGCAGACCCCTTGGTTCACTACTTCTTTCAGTAGGGTAACAAAAGCTCCTTCATTGACAGTAAATGTATTGCAGTGTTGTCATCTTTCACAGTCCCTGTAGCCAGAACCTACTATGGAGTGGATAGCCCAGCTGCATACTGCCTGTCATCTTCTGGAAACACATAACTTCACCTCTTAGCTTTCACATCATCTGATTTGCTGTTGATGTCAACCTCCTTCACTGCTCACGGAAGGCAAATGACGTGCAAACACTGCTGAATTCCCCCCATCACCTCCCCATCTAGCAGGGGCTTGTGTTGGATAGGCTTGATTAACAGTTTCACTTTAAAATAGGAGCAATTAGATGTCCTTTTAGTGTTATGTTGATTTACAATTATTGAATATCTTAGAACAGTGGACTCAGGTTTTACAGATTTATAAAAGCTGCTATGTGACTGTGTTATTACAGTGTTTTTTTTACTGCTGACAGGCTACACATTTGTATAAGTGTACTGCGGGGGCACAGAGCACTCTGTGTAAAAGCTCTGCGTGTCTCTTACTAATCACCCGTATTGCATCCTGACAAGCCTTCTCCTTCCTATGTAACATAATAGAGCCATTATCCTTATTAATGACCAACATTTTCAGAATGGCATTGACCAGTGCTATGAGAGTTTTTTTTTCTACATTTACATGTCTTTGGCACTTTCTGTCCTCTCTTTCCAGTATGATTTCAACATTTTCCTTTAAAACGGCCATAGATGGATTGGATCTTGACCGTTTCATCAGGGACCAGTTGAGATTTGATCCATCTATGGGCAGCATGGTTGTGCTGAAGTCGATCCATCTATTGACTTCAGTACAACCAGCTTTTCTGATTTTTTTCATGCTGTTACTGCCAGCAGCTATAGCCACCAGTAGTAATCATTGTGTTCTGCCGGCAGGGAAGACTCCCCATTGTCAGAACACAGTAGTGCTGTGGGAAGGGATTCCCCCATCAACACTGACAGTGCCCATGGAGGAATCAAGTGATTTTCTTTCTTGCACCCCATGGTTGCAGGAAAGGAAATTGCATAATCTATGGCTTGCCTTACTTAATAAAGCTACCCCCATCTCTTGTAGTGGAGTGGCCATTTACTCTCCATGCTCAGATGCAGGCACATGCCCGTTTAACTTCATTTTATACAACTTCCTGTGATCCTGGACACAACCAGGGGAGATAGGTGTCTCTGCTTTCTTTCCTCTACAGCTTAGAGAGTCCAGGTGAGTGGGGGGCAGCCAGATGAGTGGGGGCAGCCAGGTCACAGCTTAATAGTATGCAGTTTATCTTGAAGATCTTGATACTGTGGGGAAAGAATTAAAGGATGTCCTGTTTTTAAACATTTTTGTTTTGGCTCATATAAGCTAGGAATCAATACAAAAGTGTTGGTGGACGCTTAGACCATGCAATGTGTTTTGATTTAATATACTGCAATAGCAAACATATATTAGTGTGCTACCTAATATGCATGCAACAATCACATTGTCTGTGATATATCTGTTTGAACAGACTTTAAAGATATCCCCAAGAATATAGGTGGAGTCACAATCTAACCATGGGAGGCCATATCCCTAATCAACAACTATACAGAAACTTAATTAAATGGGATTTTAAATACACTATATTGCCAAAAGTATTGGTACACCCCCCTCCAAATCATTGGATTCAGGTGTTCCCATCACCTCCATGAGCACAGGTGTATAAAATGTGGTACTGTGATTGGTTGCCACCTGTGCAATAAGTCCATCCGTGAAATTTCCTTGCTACTAAATATTGCACGGTCAACTGTTAGTAGTATTATAACAAAGTGGAAGCAACTGGGAGCAACAGCTACTTAGCCACAAAGTGTCAGGCCACGTAAAAAGGCAGAGCGGGGTCAGCACCTGCTGAAGCGCACAGTGCAGAAGTCGTCAACTGTCTGCAGAGTCAATAGCTAAAGACCTCCAAACTTCATGTGGCCTTCAGATTAGCGCCACAACAGTGCATAGAGAGCTTCATGGAATGGGTTTCCATGGCCAAGCAGTTTCATCCAAGCCTTGCATCTACAAGTGCAATGCAAAGCATCCGATGTAGTGGTGTAAAGCATGCCACCAATGGACTCTAGAGCAGTCGAGACGTGTTCTCTGGAATGACAAATTACGCTTCTCTGTCTGGCAATTCAATGGATGTGTCTGGGTTTTCGAGGTTGCCAGGAGAACATTACTTGCCTGACTGCATTCCAAGTGTAAAGTTTGGCAGAGGGGGGATAATGGTGTGGGGTTATTTTACAGGGGTTGGGCTTGATCCCTTAGTTCCAGTGAAGGGAACCCTTAAGACATCAGCATACCAAGACATTTTGGACAATTTCATGCACCCAACTTTGTGGGAATAGTTTGGAGATGGCCCCTTCCTGTTCCAACATGACTGCACACCAGTGCACAAAGCAAGGTCCATAAAGACATAGATGAGCGAGTTTGGGGTGGAGGAACTGACCTCAACCTGATAGAAAACCTTTGGGATGAATTTGAGTGGAAACTGCGAGCCAGGCCTTCTCATCCAACATCAGCGCCTGACCTCACAATTGCGCTTCTGGAAGAAAGGTCAGGCATTCCCATAGACACACTGCTAAACCTTGTGGACAGCCTTCCCAGAAGAGTTGAAGCTGTTATAGCTGAAAGAGTGGGCCAACTCAATATTGAATCCTACAGACTAAGACTGGAATGTCATTAAGGTTCATGTGTGTGTAAAGGCAGGCATCCCAATACTTTTGGCAATATAGTGTATGTCATTATATGAACATCAATCTATCCACAAAACATTTTAAGAAACGTAAGTAATGTTGAGGTATGTTGGTCAACGCGTTTTGCAGGTTCCCCCCCGCTTCTTCAGGACCTTTAAGACCGCAAATATCTCTGCATGAACAAAGGTAGTGTACTTAATACTGAAAATTAGCAAAACGTACAAATGTTTAATAAAGATAATATATCCTCCAACAAGAAGAAAAAAAATATTTCTTAATTTATGATTATTAATAATAATATTCTGACAAGTTCAAAATATATTGAAAATATATTAAAAATTCACCTTTTCATTCACTTCCTTTCATGCAAATAATCTTAGACTGGGAAAGGGACCACGTGCAATTCAAGCCCCCACTGGCCCATACGCAGGATTTTCTGCGGTTTTGTGGATAGGTTGATGTTTATATAATGATGTCTTGACATTAACGGTGGAGTTTTATAGTGAATGTTTTTTGTATTGATTATGTCAAAGGACATGTTTTAATCCATATTTTGGAATAAACAGTATGTGTATTTTAATATTTGGCGGTTGACTATTGGAGGCATATTTAAAAGTCCCATTTAATTAAGTTTCTATATAGTTAATATATCTGTTTGCCACACTGGAAGTGATGTTTTCTGTACCCCTATACGAAGTAATTATTTGTGATTGTGTACATACAATCTGATCAGCTATCTTGCCCTCGTCTCCTTCATGATGCTGAGCAGTGACCCTGCAAAGTCCCACAAATATCTCTACCCAATGCATCTTCCTGTAATGGTGTGGCAACGATGCTGCACTGCTCATGAATTCACAACAGAACTGCCACTTTCTGTGCATTCTTGGACTACAGTGGGATGAAAAATGATGCAGAGGTGTGGCATTGAGCATTCTCACTGCTGATTTATAAGCCTGTAGCTTGTCAATAAGCACCTTGCCAGACATAGTCCTATCCACTGCTTTTTGTATTGACATCACTGCCTGTGTTGCTAAAGCTGAAATCATCTGCCATGTCTGGTAAGGGGAACATGTAAGACACAAATAAAGGAGAATATTGCTCAGCCAGGGAAGCTAAAGGAAGTTTTATATTTCTTTATAAGGCTTGTGCATCTCATAGTAACTGGATTTGGTACCTGTTTAGACTATCATACAAGAGTGATTAGTTGTACTTTAAATAAACTACATTTTCATCCGCAGAATAATTCTGAGGATGAGTTGGATGAAAGAAATGGCCTGACACAGGGTGATAAACTACGTGCCTTAAAGAGCAGAAGGCAGCCACGTTCGGCTACCACTGGAGCACTACGGTAAGAAAGCATTGTTAACTTAAGGCAAGAGATAGACGGTCATATTATCAGTCATACACTAACTCCACCTGATGATCTTTTGGCTTAGTAAAATGAGCAGGCTTGGGTATATTGGTGAATCTTTGCATGGTTACAGTACAGTAGACAGCACTAACATTGCTGTTTATTCATGGCAAACAAACCAGAATTATGAATATTTGGGAGAGGAATACAACTGGGTATCCAGGAGGAGACGCATCTGCATTATTTTATCAGAATAATCTATAATTTTAAATAAGTAGCCCACACACTCTTCTAGTATATTATTTATACTAAAGTAAGATGTCCCTGCCATAATTCCTAACTCTGTTCTTGTCTGGAAGTTATGAGTTTTCCTGTCTGTCTTTATGTGTTCTAGTACCACTGGCTGCTTGCTACCAAAATATAAAATCAATATGAAGTCAAACAGAGTGGGAACGTGGCTTTATTATCATAGCATGTGTGCAGACGCAACAACACGCATATATAGAATCTTCAAGAGATACTGTATATGGAACTGTCAGGTGGTTTAAATCGATAGCATTTGGCAAAACTCAAATATCAGCTTTGCATTGATTGATCCTTTAAAAATAGAAATAATGTGAAAACCTCAGGTTACTTAGCTGTCTCTTTTGGTGTCAGAAGCAGATTTCTTAGAGCAGGGGTATAGCAGTGTGATGGGCAAAACCATCAGGCCAAGAATGGGCTTTAGACCCTTAAACTTTCTTTTGTTTTTTTTTTACAGGTTAGATGAAATGAAACCACATATAAGATCAACGTCTCAGCCTTTCAGGTATTTTCCTTTTTGCATATCTGTCTCAGGTCAGAGGTGTCCATGTCTAGAGAGCCATTGTATTTTAAGAAATGAATGCTGTCCTAAAATTTCTCCATAGAAAGCATTTTCTTATACCTGTTCATTAAAGCGGAGCTCCAGTCAAGCCTAAAAAATTAAAGTCAGCAGCTACAAAAACTGAAGCTGCTCATTTCTTTAAAAAAACAGCCACTCACCTGTCCCACAATCCAGCGGTGTATCAGAAATTCAATGCTGCAGCTGTGCCCTGTGCACGTTTCCTGTGTTATCTCAAGGAGCCCTCCTAGTTTTACCTAAAGAAAAATTAAAGTGTTACTAAACCCAGGACCCTGCATTCACTATATCTGGTCTCCCACAGTACAAACAACATGGAAATGCAATTATTTTAGTAAATATAGACTGCTAAATACCTTTTCTCATTTAGAGCAGTCTTGTGACTTCAGCAGATCACTGGTTAAAGCTTGTAGGAGGAGTTTTCTTTCTGCTCTAGGAGGATGTGAAACCTCTGACTCTCTGTCTGGACAGTGCTGATTGGCCCTGTGCTGATCACATGCACTCTCCCAAGAAAAAAAAAAAAAAAAACCTCTCTAGCAATACACACCAAACTAAGCATGTGCATGTGACCACGGGTTCAGTCTGTATCAGGTGGTCATTTAAACAAGAGGAGGGGCAGAGAAGAAAGGATCAAACAGCCTTTTTACATAATGCAGAGGATTAACCCCTAAGGTTCCACAGTGAGTATGCCGAGCATGCTTTACTGCATATACATACTGATTTTACTGTTGTGGTTTTAGTAACACTTTAATGCCTATGATGTGGAGATTATGAGATAAGGAGAGAATCAGTACAACTGGGCAGGGCCAGGTCTTGCAATTCAGCCCACAAAAAGGCATGTGATATCAATCAATAAGAGGAAATGAAGAGCCGAGTGCACTTCTGGCAGATCAACTGGTATTTTTTGTACTTGCAGAACCTTTAAAGGCATAAATTATGGAGAAGTGTGCATGTATTGTGGGGATGTACTGCATTTTTTAAAATTTTGTCCTGACATACACTTTAAAGTGAACCTGTACTTTGCCCATATGTGGCGAATCTACTGGTTCACTTTGATGCAGACTTCCGCAGATGCATATATTTACCTTTATTTCACTTTCTCCCACTGCTCCATTCACCCTCTGGGGGTGAAAGCTAAGCCCTGTGTAGGCAGTAGACTCCCATGATCCAGCAAGGGTCCTCGTGTTGAATGGAGCTGTGGGGAAGCGAGGGAAAATATTTGCTGCTGGGTATTAGGGAGGAGATTCAAGTATATGCAAACCCTCACCTTGTAAAACAACCCGAACAGTTTAAAATAGAAATGAAAAGTAAAACATTTGTGTATACCGGTGTACCTCGGTTAACGTAATTTTCGGTTTATGAATGAAAATCCATTGAAAATAATTCCCCGGTTTCTGAATTTTTTGCAAATTTTTATCGCAACACAATGTGTATGTCGGTGCTGATTTTTAAATGCAATTGCCAGCTTTTTTTTTCCTTCAGTATAGCTCACAGAGCTGTCATTTTCCCCAGAGTTAAAGGAAGCTTTGTTTCTTTTAAGAAACTTAAATAAACATTGTTTCTTTTAACTTGGGGAAATAAACTAAAAATAAACTTTCTCTTTTAGCTGGGGGAAAGTGACAGCTGAATCTCTGAGCTATAGTGAAGAAAAAAAAAAAAAAAGCGGTAATTACATTTAAAAACCGGCACCATAATAAATTAAAAAAACGACGGGGTCTGGTATGGATTTTGAGGGGAACTCCCACACCAAAATTTAAAAGAAAAATCGTGTGGGAGTCCCCCCCAAAATCCATACCGGACCCCTATTCGAGTATGCAGCCCAGCAGGTCAGGAAAGGGGGGGCATGAGCAAGCGCCCCCCCTTCCTCCTGAAGCATACCGGGCCATATGCCCTCAACATGGGGGGGACACCCACGCCATTTTTTTTTAATTTTGGCGTGGGAGTTCTTTTCAAAATCCATACCAGACCTGAAGGGCTTGGTATGGATGGGAGGGGGGACCCCACGCCGTTTATTTATTTACTTTTTAATTCCCGGCAATTCTTTTACATTCAGCTGTCAGTGGTGAACCCCGCTGACAGCTGAAACATTAACACATGGTAGACACTACTAAAATACCACATGACTTGATAAAATAACTCATGCGATATTTTAGTAGCGTTTATTTTTTTTCTGACCTCAGGAATGGATTAATTGGTTTTCATTGCATTGCTATGGGAAACGGCATTTTGGTTTACAAATTTTTCGTTATATGAAAAGTTCAGCAGAATGAATTAAATTCAAATAAAAACATTATAAATACTTTCTTTCCAAGTGATCACTTATCCTCTGTTTTCAACTGCATAGAGAGCTGAAGGAGGAGTAAAAGCAGCACACTGAGCTTTCCAGTGAATGGCTGTGCGGGGGAAAGGGGGGGGGGCATACCAGCACAATTTTGATCATTGGGGGAGAGCAGGCTGAGTTGCCAGCACAGCCAACTGAAAACTAACCATTTTGTGCTCTCCGGCCTAGTCAGTTTTTGATAGGAAAGCAGAGGGACAAGCAGGAACACCAGGGATTTCAGACAAGGGAAGCAATACAAAGAGAACAGGATACTATCAGGAATACGAAATGTTGGGTTTACATATTACATAAAATCTATTTTTAAGAACTGCACACTCTTTTGATCTTGAATGTTTCCTGATAGTTTGAAATGCTCTTGTGTCTCTTATTAGAGTAATCGCCTCTAACAGTGCACAGGGCTCCATGTCCCCGCTGAAGTCCTCTAGAGTTTCTGCATCTTCATCAGCAGTTGCTAGGAGAGTTGGACAGAGTTCAGGATCTTCAAGCAGCAAAGCAAAAAAGTGAGTGCCAAAATTGAATGGAAAACTGAGCAAGTAAATGCATTTCTGGAGCACAAATTCTCCAAGGCTCTTCATCAACAATAAACTGCAAAGTAATAAATGAATAAATGCCATGAAGCTATTATTGTTAGTATTATCTGGTATTACCAGTTTTACTGAATTTAAGACTTGGGACATAAGGCTGGTTTTATATATACAAGGGGAAATAGATGTTCAGTGAATGTTACATTTAGGGCCTCATTCACACAGACACACAAAGCCATACAGCATGAAGAAGGTGTGGGTTTATATGGCCAGGAGAGGCCCATGAGTGACAGGTTTTTGCGTACAGCCACCTGTACAAATCAGTGACAGGCTAGAAATCTACACATGAGCATTTTGCACATGTACAGGGACAAATTAATGGCCCTGGACACAGACAATTTACAGCCTGGGGCGCTCATCTATTGTTTTATGCATGCACACTCTTAAATGTGCGGTGACCTGTGTACATGTGCAATCTGAGATTGATTTGTACATATGGCTGTATGCAAACCGGTATCACTCCAGGGCGCCCTTTGGACAGATAAAAACACACCTTCTTCAACTAAAACTAAATGTTTCTGTCAAAACTAGTACCAGATCCAGTTACTGAGTGATGCATAAGCCTCATAAAGTAAGCATAAAACTCTCTTTATCTTTCGTGACTGAGCCATATTCTCTTTTATTTGTGTCAGATACTCTCCCTCTCAAACACTGCAGCTCACAGAGGAAGGTTTCAGCAACAGAGGCAGTAATGTCAAACTAGAAAGCATTGGGCAAGATTAGGTGTGGCCAGGAGCTGATTGAAAAGCTAAAGGCTTGTGAATCATCAGTGACAATGCTGACTGCCATGAGTCCTGCAAAATGTTTTCATCCGACTTTAGTGCAATCAGGCTTACCCTACATGAGTGTGGTAACTGTTTTGAATTCAGGAGCAGTGCAGCATCAATGCCATCCCATCACAGGAAGGTGCATTAGGTGGACCTCATTGGTAGGATCAACAGGTATTTGTGGGACTTTGCAGATGGATTAAGGCTCCGTTTACATATATGCATTTTGCGTTTGATGCTTTCTCCAGTGATTTTTGCAGTTTGTTTTTCTACATGCGTTTTTGATTTTTTTACCACATTTTGCATTTTGTTCAGCTTTTTTTATGTTAAAGTGGAATTTTTTTTATTGCTGGACAGAATAAAAATTTAAAACGCAGCAAATACGTACTACCATGTATTACAGCAGCTTCTTCATTGAACTCTATTGTAGCAAAAATGCTGCTTTTTTATTTTTAAAAAAGTCCCTGACCCTTTCCAAAAACAAAGCAGCTCAAAAAAAGCATAGATCCATAGGAAACCGTGTTAAATTGACTGTAGTGTGTTTCTGCAAAAAGCGCTAAAAAACGCATTGGTGTGAATGGAGATTTAGAGAAAAATATACAGCTTCATTTATTAAGTGCTAGAGCATTTTTTTTTTAAATGGAGGTCGTAGATTTGCTGGTGTCAGTCTCCCAAGCATGCTAACTGACAGAGGCTTATAAATCATAAAACATAATTGCAAATCCTTTGGCCATGTAACACAGTCCACATAAGGTCTGCCTATTCCAACAGTGTGTTTTGTGTAGAGTTTAGCTTTAATACTATAAATGAATAAAGAACATTAAACATTGAAACATAAACCAACAAAACAAAAAAGATAGTTTAATCACAGACAAGGATAACATTTTCTTGACTTTGAATAAATATAGACAGAAATAGTTTTTTCATGGGAAAAATAGAGTAGGGTTTAGTTCATGGTCCCTGGAGCTGTGCCTCCACTGGCTTCAGTGTCCTGGTGTCAATTCACATTACATATCTAAATCAGGGCTTCTTTCCTGTACCTAGACATTTCCTCTTCTGCTTCAGGTCTGAGAACAGAACGGATGTCCTTGTTGTGACCTTCTCTCCACAATGCTATTGACCATTACTACAGTGCCTTGAAAAAGTATTCATACCCCTTAAAAGTTTCCACATTTTGTCATCTTACAACCAAAATCTTAAATGTATTTTATTGGGATGTTATGTGATAGACCAACACAAAGTGGCACATAATTGTGAAGTGGAAGGGAAATGACAAATGGTTTTCAATTTTTTTTACAAATATCTGAAAAGTGTGGTGTGCATTTGTATTCAGCCCCCCCTGAGTCAATACTTTGTAGAACCACCTTTTGCTGCAATTACAGGTGCAAGTCTTTTTGGGTATGTCTCTACCAGCTTTGCACATCTAGAGAGTGACATTTGTGCCCATTCTTCTTTTCAAAATAGCTCAAGCTCTGTCAGATTGGATGGAGAGTGTCTTTGAACAGCAATTTTCAAGTCTTGCCACAGATTCTCAATTGGATTTAGGTCTGGACTTTAATTGGGTCATTTTAACACATGAATATGCTTTGATCTAAACCATTCCATTGTAGTTCTGGCTGTATGTTTAGGGCCATTGTCCTGCTGGAAGGTAAACCTCCGCCCCAGTCTCAAGTCTTTTCTCTAACAGGTTTTCTTCTAAGGTTGTCCTGTATTTAGATCCATCCATCTTCCCATCAACTCTGACCAGTCTCCCTGTCCGTGCTGAAAAAAGTGTCCCCACAACATGATGCTGCCACCACCATGTTTCACGGTGGAGATAGTGTGTTCAGGGTGATGTGCAGTGTTAGTTTTCTGCCACACATACCGTTTTACATTTAGGCCAAAAAGTTCAATTTTGGTCTCATCTCACCAGAGCACCTTCCTCCACATGTTTGCTGTGTCCCCCACATGGCTTCTCACAAACTGCAAACGGGACTTCTTATGGCTTTCTTTCAACAATGGCTTTCTTCTTGCCACTCTTCAATAAAGGTCAGATTTGTGGCGTGCACGACTAATCGTTCTCCTGTGGACAGATTCTCCCACCAGAGCTGAGCATCTCTGCAGCTCCTCCAGAGTTACCATGGGCCTCTTGGCTGTTTCTCTGATTAATGATCTCCTTGCCGGCCTGTCAGTTTAAGTGAACGACCATGTCTTTGTAGGTTTGCAGTTGTGTCATACTCTTTCCATTTTCGGATGATGGATTGTACAGTACTCCGTGAGATGTGCAGAGCTTGGGGTATTTTTTTATAACCTAACCCTGCTTTAAACTTTTCCACAACTTTATCCCTGACCTGCCTGGTGTGTTCCTTGGCCTTCATGATGCTGTTTGTTCACTAATATTCTCTAAGAAACCTCTGAGGGCTTCACAGATCAGCTGTATTGTTACTGAGATTAAATGACACACAGGTGGACTCTATTTACTAATTAGGTAACTTCTGAAGGCAATTGGTTCCACTAGATTTTAGTTAGGGGTATCAGAGTAAAGGGGGCTGAATACAAATGCACGCCACACTTTTCAGATATTTATTTGTAAAAAAACATTTTGAAAATCATTGCTCATTTCCTTCCACTTCACAATTATGTGACACTTTGTGTTGGTCTATCACATAAAATCCCAATAAAATACATTTGCGTTTTGGTTGTAACATGACAAAATGTGGGAAATTTCAAGAGGTATGAATACTTTTACAAGGCACTGTGTAAAGAACTTGTGATCTGTTGCTGCAGTGGAAGGAAGGAAGGAAAGGGGTACGAGGGTTGGGTGAAGCTGGGCAGAGCATCCAAATTATCGGTAAGATGGTACATATTCGTAAATACCTCCCTATGGCTCTGCTGTCCTTTACCAAAACTATGTAGTCTGAAGACTGTTAGAGTCTCAAGGAAACGTCTCAGGATTCTGTGATGCTAAATTTTCTGCATAAAATGCAGAATAGACTATTTTATTTACCTACCAGAAAAGATAAGCAAAACAATTCCTGTGAGCTGGGATTTGACTTGAATTATGACGTTTACACGAATTATTGTTAATTACCACTAAAAAGTCTTAAAATCGTTTTTAGTCCCTAATGATGTTTAGCAGACTCCGCTATGATGCATTGCATGACCTTTCCTCTCCTGCATCCCATTTTCCTGAAGCCAGTCAGGAGGGTTTGTACAATTAGACATAACCCACTTAAATAGAATATTGCAGAACACTGTAGTTACCATTTCTGAGTGCAAATTAAACTGATCTTTCGGAACCTCTTGGTGCTATCATGTGCACAGATCGTGCCTCCCAGTTGCATTTAGTTCTGGGGGTTGTTTTTTCCTCTCACAGTGAAGTGAACTTGCTAATTTACATTATTAACTACAGCTTTCAATAATTCTGCTCACTTTGCAGTCAGTCCTCTAAGCAGTGCCTTAAACCATCATCATCAGTCATCAAAGTCATAGTACATTTCTTTGGTTTTTCTTTATACACTGTAACATTTTTTTTTTTTATTTATCAGTGGCCCAGGTTTTTGTTTTTGTTTTTACTTCGCCACTGTCACACACACAGGCGCGTTAGCAAGCATTGGGCAGGTCTGTTTTTTTTAGTTTAAATTGCACAGCAACTTGGGGGTGTATTTATACAAAAAATTGCAGAGCTATTCATCCTACAAAACTGCATGTTTTGAGCAAATGGGGGCAAAACTGAATGTTATTAGGCTATTTTCTCTCTACGTTGACTAGTTATTCAAAAGAATGAAGTGAATCAGGAAATAAACTGTATTACTGCCACTAGATGGAACTGATGGTCATAATAAGTAAACATATCTAAGCTCATCAGCTTCATCTAGTTGCCATAATGTGGTATTTTCCTGTTTTTTGTTATATTCTTTATGAATGAATAACATTCACCCTGGAGAAAAAAATAGTTTAGTAACATTCAGTTTTGCCCCCATTTGTACAAAAAGAACGTACATGCAGCTTCACATGAGTAACTTTGAGAACTGTTATAAATACACCCTTTTGTGACAGGGACTGAATAAAGAACTTCAGGACTAGTTTCCTGCTTGCCCTTTGTGTAGTTCAATAGCCCTGAGCACTGAAGAATTCTTCATCTAGTGAATGATTCCCGTGCCCTCTTTTTTTTTTTTTTTTTTCTTCCATCGGGATATCTTTTTAGATTTGTTCAGAAAAAATAAAAAGATGACGTGTAGGAACTGAATACGATTTTTTAAAAATCTAATTATCTTTATAAAAAAAGATTTTCACTCTGGAAACTGGATCATTAAAATAAATTGGCCAATTTGTCAGATTTTTAAAAGAAGTTTGCTTATCTTTACCCAAAAAGTACATGAAAAGTTCTCAGTGGCTTTAATGACCTGTTAAAATGTCAATTTACATCAGCCTATGGTTTTACATAAGTACATTTTGTAAAGAGGAATAAATAGCTATGGGACAGGAGGCACCAAACAGAGCACCCGGCAGTGTATATGTTAACACCTTTGTCTCTTCTAGATTTCAGGCTTCTGAATTTCTGCGTGGGATAATATAGTATCTTTGTATGTGACAGTATCATTATGTAATTTCCCTAATGACTGCAGTATCAGTGAGAGCTTCCATATCACTTCAGTAGAAAAGCTACAATATAGGTAGTTACAGCCTACATGATTAAAAAATGGCCACAAGTACTTTTTTTAAAACTAGTGTATCAGTGATAGAGCCATAAGAGCCTCAGGATATGACTGCAGTTCACGCATTCAAATATATGGAGACCTGTCCTAACTCTGTTCTGTTTATATTCTTTATTGACTTGTTATTATCAACCATTGCTAAAAATACGGACGTGATATAGATAATGTGTTAAAAAGAATTAATTTTTATTTGTTGGAAAACATACATTTTTTTCACCCTATATTAGGTATGATTGTTTTTAGTATAGATCCAAAACTGGTCAATATGTTGTCTTAATTAACTGGCTTTTCAGACAGAATACTGCAACATTATATTGGTCTATAAAGAAGCCTAGGTGGTTAAATAAGCTTGCAAGTCACATCTATTCAGTTAAAGTGGTACTCTACTCCAGGCAAATAGCTAAATTCAAGATTGGAATGCATGTATGTTTACAGGTAACCCCAAAGTATTATTCGATTTGTCCAGCATTTCTAGTAATTAGTACCTTTGCTAGTCTGTAATATCTCTGCTATTCCCTGGTTTAATGTCATTGATCTGTAGACCTGCTTCCTAGGTCAGCTCTCTGCTCACTGGACATAAGTGAAGACACTGATTCAGTGTCCAATGAGAGTGCTGGAGGAGGAGAGGTAACCTAGGAAGCTGAAATGTTGAACTGGGAAGACAAATAGCTTATTTAAAAAAATATGTGTGATCCGCCTGGCTGTGCAATGTGAAAATGTGTGAAAATCACAAGATTGTGTAAAATGACAAAATTCTAGCCAGCTAAAATGGTAAACAGAAACATATTTTAACTTTGTATCTAGTTTGCCTTGAGATTCGCTTTTATAACTAGTACTACTATAAATTTGGTTTCCTTTGCTGCCAATGACTGACACACTGGAGTAAAAAGTCCTTTCTGACGTATGTGTTGTATCAGAGCATAATTATCAGTGATTGCAGTTGACTGATTTCCATGCATTCAGTAAGCTAAAAGGTATTACATTCTTGGCTACACTGCCTTAGAACTTCTGGAGTGATAAGGTCAGCAAATCCCAATTAATAAACATGACTCACTTCCAGATCATGTTCATTTCAAAAACAATGCTCACTTCACTTCCGCTCACCAACGCACTGCTTCCTTTATGTGGAAACTCCCAGAAGACCAGGAAAATCCAATGCTCTGCTTTGTTTTATTAAAGTCGGGGAATCTTATTTTAGCTGCTGCTTCTAGTTTAAGTCAGTCCTTAGTGTTAGGGGTCAAAAAGTAACCATGTGTACAGTTTATTGTATGCTGTTCATTTAATAACTGAACTATATGTATTTTTTTCTGTTAGATGTTTTTTATTTATTTAAATCTGGACTATCATACATATTCAGCAGTGATATCCATAGTATGTTCTATGTACATGTCTAAGAATATAACCAATCAGCAGTAGAAAGGAGATGTTTTCATCCTCCTACCATAGTGTCACTAAAACTGTACTTGGGTCTCATTCACATAGATGTATCCAAAACACTGGCAGAAGAATTGTGCACATTTTCTGTTTGCGTGTAATGTTTATGCAACCTCTATATATGGGCAGTGTATAGGGACCCCATTGGCCACCGCTGCAACTCATGGGCGACATGTCAGTAACGACAATGTGTAACCAGTGGGCCTACACTGTCAGTCTGAAGGAGTCATTGATTCGGAATCATGTGCAGAATGACATCTGGTAGTCATTCATGACTACTGCCATTACTTCCAGAGCATCAGTGACCTATTCAGACCAAACGTGTATAATCAGCAGCCCAGATGCCTCTGATTACATCATGTTGTTAACATTTCTTTCAGATGTGGCAGCAGCTGCCAGCATGTAAATGGTGGCAAAAATGTTTACATGCGTACAGCGTAAAATACGATTGAAATTAGAGCTCTGGACGCAGCTTTGTACTCATTTTTATTTTGTTTCATCATGCAGTAGAACAATTCAGCTACTATATGCAGCTGTGTGAATAGGCCTAGACATGTATACAGCTACTTACAGATGCATACAAAGACGTACACTGTATGTGGTGTATATTACACATTTGTGAATGAGCCCTTACGATAAGCTTTAAGTTGGCCAGCTTAGTAAAATGTATCAACACGGTATGTGAGCAATTTATATCCTGACCAGAAAAGATCATCCCAATATAACAAGATAACAGCTGACCAATCATAATACTCCTGTATGCTACAAGTTTAAAAGAGAACTCCGGCAGGATACAGAATTCGGTAATTGCTGTGCTATATGAATAGCTGTTCATCCTTGTCACCTTTTTTTTTTATTAAGTACAGTATAGTAGTTTTGGAATTAAAGGACTAGTACAGCAAAAATGCTGCATTTTGCTAATGGTAAAGGCTAAAACATATAATGATAGTATTCAAAACTAGAACACTCTTGGGGTCCTTACAATGGTCACTTTTCATGCCCATAGTTTTACTTATTTATTTTTGGTGCTGCAATGGCTGAAACACCCCCCATCAGTGCTATGATTTGTTCAATATATCTCATGATGGTGGTCGCCTAAATGTAAAGAGCCACAAATGTGGTTCTATAATGGAAACAGAAGCATATGCAGCCTAACATCTGCTAAGACCTCACTGGCCTGATCATAATAGGCTGTACAGGAACAATGGACCTCTAACTCACATACAGACCCATGCATTGGATTTATGTATTTGCAAATATACATATACAGTGTATATATATTTATGGAACTGATTTTTAAACTTTAAAAGTATTATTACAGCACACACAGTATCTTGATTTCCGATAAACTAGCATATAGATTTACTGGTAATTTTTCATCCTGAATGGAGTTTTCTTTTAGCTTTTAGTGCTGTTTTCTTTTAGCTATCAGTGCTATTTAAATATAATTGTAACTGTTTTGGGCAGAATGGGGAACGATTTCATCCTTTGTTAGTTTTTTCCACTCACTTCCCGCTTAGGTGACAATCTTGTCAATGGGACAGGGAGAGAGGGGAAATCTCCAAATGGGCTCACAGTAATAAAAATGAGGCACAGGTTCTACACTAACCCACTCCCTCTAATATTTTACAGGTTTTGGCTGGAGTTCTACTTTCCAGGCAAAATAGGGTTGATTTACTAAAACTGGTGCACTCAGAATCTGGTGCAGCTGTGCTTGATAGCCAATCAGCTTTTAACTTCAGCTTGTTCATTTAAAGTGTGATGAAACCCAGGACCCTGCATTCACTATATCTGGTCTCCCACAGTACACAGACCATGGAAATGCAATTATTTTAGTAAATATAAACTGGCAAATACCTTTTCTCATCAGCAGTATATAGCAGTCTTGTGACTTCTATCAGTGTTCAGCTGAGCACTGGTTAAAGCTTGTAGGAGGAGTTTTCTTTCTCCTCCAGGAGGATGCAGGATCCCTGGCCTCTGTTTGAACAGTGCTGATTGGCTCTGGGCTGATCACATGCACTCTCCCAAGAAAAAACCTCTCTATCAATGCACACCAATCTGAGCAAATGCAGTGTCTCCACACGATATGTCTTATCAGGGGATAAGAGGGGGATACTGGAAGAAGGGGAGGATCCGAGAAGACAGGATCAAACATCTTTTTTTACACAATGCAGAGGATTAACCCCTTAGGTTCCACAGTGAGTATATCAAGCATGCTTTACTGCATATACAGACTGATTTTACTGTTGTAGGTTTAGTAACACTCTAAGCTTTGGCAAGAAAACCTGGAAGGTGATTGGTTACTATGCAGCGTTGCACCAGATTTTGCTCTCTCCGGTGTTTAGTAAATAACCCCCAATATGTTTAAAGTTTCTGAGTAAGTTGGAGTGCATAGTGTTTACTAATGTTAACTATCACTTTATACTAAATTGTTTTACATACATGGTTCTGTATGTGTAACATGTTATTGTGGTCGTTATATGTCCTTTATATGCATTCAGCATGATACGCATGTTGTCAGAGCATGTCTTTTTGATGTTTTCCTGCTTGTTTACTAAATGGGTCAATGCACACATTCTGTCATTTCCCCCTCATGTTTTTTTCCTCCCAGTTTCTCTGTAAATACACGGTTTGCTGGCTCACTTGGGAATCTGAACTCTGCTTTGGAAGAGCTAGATGGCACCCGCAGCTCCTTTCCCTCCCGCCCCAGCTACTCCCCAGCACACCCTTCCAGCTTGTACCCCTCCAGTCCTCCTGGCCGAAGCCAAGGCGAGTTCAACAACAACCGTGCCTGGAACGTGTCCACTGCTGGCAATGATTCGTATGGATCCTACCGACCCTCATACACAGGCCTTTCCTCCACTGCACGCTACCTGAGTCGCTCTATTCCTGTAAGTGTCCTGACATCACTCCATAACTCGCATTAGGAGAAGCCTGCTAATTACTGCTTTATTCCTGCAATGGCTTGTATTACTGCTTTCCTGCTTATGTCAGCCAACTAGTATGCTGCTTCTTCGTCCTTCAAACAACATAGTCTGTTTTAGATGGCTAATGGTAAAAATGGGTATTTAGAAGAGCATTCAACACCATTTCTTATGTTGCACTGTACACATAGGGCATATATAAAATCAAGACTTTCTGCTATGCTTTACAGTACAATTTTACTCATCTATTCTCAAATAACGACCATGTCATTGGTAAAACCCCAAAGGTAAAACTACTGTATGCAAAGTGCTATGTAAAATCCCTGTAAACTGATACACAAGGCATTAGAAAAAGGTGCAAAACTTATTAAAAGTGTCAAAAGGCAAAATTGTCAGGAAAATACATAACTTATGCTAACTAGATAAAGTCCCATATAACTTCCATTTCTGTGTAAAATAATAGAATTTGCCAGGTGCTACGTACCAAACAGAAAAAAATTGAAAAGAAATGGGTGAAAGGTTCTTTAAAAATAGAATGAAATCTAGTGGTGGATTGGATTGAACTCACAGTTCAGCATAGGGTCTGATGCAGTAGTGGGCCCAAGAGGAGAGATAGTAAAGGAAGGGATTTGTCAGGTATTATATTCGTATAATTCTGGTGGGGTTAGGCGGGTACTGTATATATAATGCTGGAGAGGTTGGGAGGTTACTGGTGAGCTTAGAGGGGTACTGTATTAAATGCTGGTGGAGTTTAAAGGGTACTGCATATAATACTGGTGGGGGTTTTATAATAGTTGAGGGGTTGGTGAGTATTGGAGGGTTTATGGGGGTTCTGTTTATAATGCTGGAGAGGTTGGGCAGGTAGTGGTGGAGTTGGAAGGATACTGTATATAATGCTGGTGGGGTTAGGCATGTGTTGTGGATAATGAGATGTTGGGAGGGTACCAGTGGGGTTAGAGGGATACTGTATACATTGTATAATGCTGGTGGGGTTAGATGGGTGCTATATATAATGGTGGAGGGTTGAGGGTACTGGTGGGTTTATGGAGGCACTGAAAATAATGCTGGAGGGGCTGGGAGGGTACTCGTGATGTTAGGGGGGTAAGGTATATTATGCTGATAAGGTTAGGCAAGCACTATATATAATGCTGGGAGGTTGGGAGGGTACTGATGGAGTTAGAGGGGTACTGTATATATTGCTGGTGGGGTTAGAAGGGTACTATATGTAATGGTGGAGAGGTTGGGGGTACTGGTGGGTTTCGGGGGTGCTGTATATAATGCTGGTGGCGTTTGGGGGATACTGTATATAATGTTGGGGGGAGTACTGGTAAAATGCTGGTAGGGTTGGGGGTTCTATTATTACCACTGGGTAGGTCGAGGTAGAAAGAGGTCTTTATAGGATTTTATTAATGCATATAAAGTATTTTTGTATGTGAAAAGCTTTTACAGTGAAAGAAAACAAACATTCTAAGCTCAACTGACCTGAAGATGTACACTTGAACGGTCTGCAATTAGATGATTTTCATTAAAAAACAGACAAGAGATTGTTCAATGTTTTATTACACAATGACCCCGACACACTGGGGTTTATTTAGGAAAGCTGGAGAGTGCAAAATCAGGCTCACTTTTGTATAGAAACCAATCAGCTTCTAACTCAAGCTTTGGCAATAAAACCTGGAAGCTGATTGGTTTCCATGCAGAAGTGAGCCTGATTTTGCAATCTGCCCACTGTATCACCTCCAAGGTAAAAAGCAATATTTTCACCCCCAGTGATTTTTCATTTTTTGCTACAGAAATGTACAGTATGACTTTACCTGTAGCACTATAGCTAATGTCTACGAAGTCATGGTAATATAATTGCAGTGCTTTTAAACCTATATATATATATATATATATATATATATATATATATATATAGTTTAGGTCCATATATATTTGGACACCGGCACAGTTTTCATAATTTTGGCTCTGTATGCTACCGGAATGAATTAAAATGAAACAATCCAAATGAATTTGAAGTGCAGACTTTCAGCTTTAATTCAAGGGGTTGAACATAAATATCAAGTACAAATTTTAGGAACTGCAACCATTTTTATACATAGTCCCTCCATTTTCAGGGGCTCAAATGGACAAATTAATATAATCATAAATAAAATGTTCACTTTTATTATTTTGTTGAGAATCCTTTACTGGCAATGACTGCCTGAAGTCTGGAACCCATGGACATCACCAAAGACTGGGTTTCCTCCTTTCTGATGCTTTGCCAGGCTCTAACTGCAGCTGTCTTCAGTTGTTCTTTGTTTGTGGGTCTTTCTGCCTGTAGTTATGCCTTCAGCAGGTGATATGCATGCTCAATTGGGTTGAGATCAGGTGATTGACTCAGCCATTGCAGAATATTCCACTTCTTTTCCTTCAAAAGCTCCTGGGTTGCTTTTGCAGTGTGTTTTGGATCATTGTTCATCCGATGTACTGGGAAGCGCCATTCAATCAACTTTACTGTATTTGGCTGAATCTGGGCTGACAGTATATATCTAAACACTGCAGAATTCATCCGGCTGCTTCTGTCTTTTGTCACATCATCAATAAACACCAATGACCCAGTGCCACTGGAAGTCAAGCATGCCCATGCTATCACATTGCCTCCACCATGTTTTACAGATAACATTATGTGCTTTGGATCATGGGATGTTCCAAGCCTTCTCCACACTTTTTTCTTCCTGCCATTCTGGTACAGATTAATCTTAGTTTCATCCGTCCAAAGAATGCTTTTCCAGAACTGGTCTGGCTTTTTTAGATGTTTTTTGGCAAAGTCTAATCTTGCTTTTCTATTCTTCAGGCTTATGAATGGTTTGCACCTTGTGGTGAACCCTCTGTATTTGCTCTTGTGAAGTCTTCTCTTTATTGTAGACTTTGACAATGATACACCCACCTCCTGGTGAGTGTCCTTCACTTGTCTGGATGTTGTGAATGGGTTTTTCTTTACCATAGAGACGATCCTGCAATCATCCACCACTGTTGTCTTCCGTGGACATCCATGCCTTTTTATGTTGCTGAACTCACTAGTTCATTCTTCTTTCCTCAGAATGTACCAAACTGTTGATTTGGCAACTCCTAATGTTGCTGCTATCTCTCTGATGGATTTGTTTCACTTTTGAAGCCTTACAATGGTCTGTTTCACTTGCATGGACAGCTCCTTTGAACGCATGATGTAGGTTCACAGCAATAGATTCCAAATGCAAATACCACACTTAGAATCAACTCCAGAACTTTTACCTGCTTAATTGATGAAGAAATAACAAATGAGTAGTCCACACCTGGTCATGAAACAGCTTTTGATTCAATTGTCCAATTACTTTTGGTCCTATAAAAAAGTGGGGATGGCTACTCTTCAGAGCTGTAATTCCTAAACCCTTCCTCCAATTTCGATATACATACCCTCAAATTAAATCTGAGAGTTTGCATTTTCATCCCATCCATTATATAAGTAAAGCTTGAATATGTTTTGGTAAATACCTGAAAAAAAATAAAATTGTGTCTGTGTCCAAATATATGTACCTAACTGTATAAATATATATATATATAAAAGCAGAATTAGTTCTCTGCATATGTGAATTATATCAGATTTACCTATATTTCTGTCATTAAGTTAGAGGGTCTGAATACAGATGCATGCCGCACTTTTTAGGCATCTATTTGTAAAAAATTTTAAAAACAATTTATAATTTTTCTTCCACTTCACAATTATGTGTCACTTTGTGCTGGTCTATCACATAAAATCTCAATAAAATACATTTACGCCTTTGGTTGTAACTTGACAGAATGTGGAAAATTTCAAGGGGTAGGAATTCTTTTTCAAGGCACTGTATATGCTCGTATGTAGTTCTATATGTACACATATAGGTGTAAATTACTGCACTCAAACATAATTTTTTTTTTCGTTGGAGAAGAAACATTGCTGCCTTATGGATCTTTATGCTGCTGTGTGCATCACCCCCAGGAAAATTGTTCAGTTCCATTAAAAAAAAAAAAAAAAAAAAAGCTCCATGGCTACAAATGTGGTATTTTATGTCTGTGTGCAAGAGACCTCATAATATATCTGTTGTTTAAAGTGGTAGTAAACTCTTCTTGAATAATTTTACCTACAGGTAAGCTTATGATAAAATCTTACCTGTAGGTAAAATTAATATCTCCTAAACGTGAACCTTTAGGAGATATTAGCCCTTTATGATATTCGGCACATGCACTCTGAAGGAACTGCATACCCCTGCCATTCCTTCAGAGCACTGTGCCGTGGCCTGGGACTCATGTGCTGGAGTGATGTCATTGCGGCTCGGCCTTTCAGCCGGCCAGAGCTTGCGCACCCGGAAGGAAGATCAGGTGAAGCTGGAAGCCTCGGGAAGCCGTGACAGCGCTCCACTGGAGGGCTTCGTTTCAATGTAAGTCCTTCATAATGTGCTAGTATGCAATGCATACTAGCACATTATGCCTTTACCTTGCAGGGGTTTTTTGTTTTTGTTTTTTTTTTATGCGGTTTACTACCGCTTTAAGTGAGTTCAGAAATGTAAGGAAAAGGAGGGTAGTAGATTCTTTATGTTTGAACAAATGTCATTCAATTGGTCGTTTTCTTTTCATCATTGCTTTCTATTTGATTTGTATTGATTGTGCAATGGTTTAAAATGATGATAAATTTACTCACATTTGTGTTCTTTCAGTCCCTTCAGTCTGAATCTGTTCAGTTCTAAAGGATCTCACAGTCCTGTTAGCCCTCTCCCAGATCTAAATCCTTTGCCATGGAAGAATGGAGGAGAGACAAAGGGAAGGAATCCTTTGTCAAGATAATATCTACTGTACAAGGAAGCTATCAACTATATCTGCAAGAGATGATATCTACTTGCTATAGACATGTACTGTTATGATTTACTACTGACTGTTTTTTTGTTTGTTTTGTTTTAAAAATTTTGACACCA